GTGCCATTCTTGGTTGCAAGGTACGCTGCCAGTCAATGTGTTGAAGCACAGGCAAACCAGACGCATCACGGCTCAGCACACGTTCATGTCAGTCTTCAGAGGGGCGTCCGTAGTCAGGCCGTCGGCTTTCACAAGCTTTTATATCTTGCAAATCAGTCAGTGAGTTGAAGCACAAATGAGCCAGAAGCGCTAGAGCTCAGATCACGTTCATTGCTGTTTTCAGGTGGGCTTCCATGCCCACGCCGTTTGGCTTCGCAAATTTTCATTCAATGCAAACCAGTCAGTGCGTTGGAACTCAGGTCATTCGGACGCCCAGGTGCTGATCTCACGTTCATTTCCGTTTTCATATGGGCTTCCAGAGTCGAGCCGTTTGCTCTCGCAAGTTTTCATTCCGTGCAGACCTAGGCTGTGCCCTCATTTACCCTCTGAAGCTTCAGACCTACAACTGCTTTATCTGCATAGACTAGCACAGCGTGATGACTCCGAATGGCAACGCTCTTTGTTTCTGTAAGGTGCCATTCCCTCTATATGGAAAGAGCACATCGCCGCAGCCAGAACCGAGGGTCAGAACGAGAGCTCGCATTGCACTCACCACAACTTGGAAACTCCATGTAACGTTGCGTCTTGCCTCTGCAAGTTCCTTCGTCTTAGCGTATATGCCGGCGATCTGGCTTGGTCGACGCACAATGCATCAGCTCATATGGAATCCCACTGCTTAGTGATTCCAACTGGTACATTTTATTCTTGAAATACGTGAACCTATGTGAGTCCAGACAATGCGCAGACTCCAAATGATGCGGGCAGCATGACGTTTTCTCTTTTATTGGGTGGCGCCAAATTTACTTGTTTGTCCACGTTTTCATTTTGTGGATATTCAGGACGTGCGTTGTCCCACGGCCCGTCCACAAGAACTAATACTCTTTTTCGAACTCTTGCACATCACAGGAACTTTAAATAAAGTTGCCTTCCATACCTGCTAGTTGGCACTTTGTTCACTTCACGGAGTGCGTTGATGCATTCAAACCACTGCCATGCAGTTGTTCTGCGTATAAGTCTCAAAAACTTTGGTGCATTACTGTTGTTCCAGATAACTATGTGATCCTACTGTGCACGGGTCCACGTAGCACACCTTTTGTATGCATGAATTGGGGACGGCGCATCCAGTGCTGAACTGCTGTTTCTACACCGCTTGATGCAGGCAAGTGACTCCAAGCGCATAGGGTTTCCTCCACGTGTCATTCTGTGTGGATCTGCACTGGCACACCTCGCCAACTGCGCAGCAGTGATGCATCGGTTTACGTTGCGTGCCACTGAGCCTCACACCTGAAGCCGCATACTGTTTGTGCTTCCAGTTGGTCACTTCGGGTAAATTCAGAGCCTGTACTGAAGTGTACGCTCCCATACGCTTAAGTAATTGTGCATATCCAGTTACTCAAGCGATTAATTTTTCTGCTGAATCTCACATTTAGTTTGTTCAGTGCAGATGTCCGATGCGACTTCGAATAATGCCACTATGCCGAGCGTGCGGAAATTGCTTGACAGGATAGCGCTTAATCACACAAAACACAAAAGCACAAACGGTGTGCGCACTTGTGCACGTGCAGCCCAAAGGACGCCTAATTTCCAACAAGACTGCTGCAGCTGTTCAGAACGATTATGCTATGCAGACGTGCAGGTCGTAGCTTGTGCTGATTCACTCAGTGCGTCGACGCAATTATAGAGAGCAACCATCCAAGTGATTTATTTACTCAAATTTCTACCAATAGAAACATGTACGCCGATGGGGTTAGTCTTCCTAGATGGTCGCAATCTGTGAGACTTCAGGAAGTGCGTTGCCATGGCGCTGCTTGGCAGCCAGTTGCTTGAGATGTGCAACGCGCAGCCTAGTGACACTGTGTCTGTTTAAACA